TTTACATAATATATATGTGTGTTCTGTGTATATTTATTATGTATATATAAATACTCACACATATAGTATATATTTTGAAAATATTTACATGTATATTTATATTCATATAATTTATATTATATATAAATATACTTAATATATAAACATAACATATTTTTCTTAAATATATGCATGCATGTGTGTGTATTTATGTATAAATAATACATTTACACAGTACACAAACAGATGTAAACAAAAACTTTTATTTTGGATGCGATTAATCGCGATTAATCTTTTGACATCACTAATATATATATATATTAATGTCTATATAGTTTTTATTATTTTGTATTTCAGTTTTCGTTATTTTAGTATATCAAGTTGAACTCAAAAATGTTGAATTAAAATAAGGGTTTTGTTATATTTTATTTTAAGTGACAAATTAGTTTTTACAGTTTTAGTTCACTCTAATTAGCCTGTATTTGACATCATCCCGCTTACAGTATGAGCCTGAGCGACTCGGATCGATGCGTGTGATCGAGTGTGACAGACGACAGCGGCGCTGACAGCCGCGTTTAATCGACATTGATGATCAATAACGAAGCGGTTAATCTCCTGACGGACATCAGTGGTGTCTCGGTGAATGACTGACGGTCGCTGGAAGCAGTTCATGTGTTCAACACACACAATGGTGGCAGAATCGCATCAATGCTGACGTCTGAGCCTCGGTTACAGCGGTTACCGCGGTACTGAACCGAGGCTCACACATCACATCAGCTTCTTCTCGAAGGCTTTGCTCATTTGATGATTGAATATGGGTTGCTCTGAGTTCTGTGTGATTATGCTGTTTGATTTCTGATGCATGGCTTTTGTATTCACTGCTTTTGCTTTTTTCAGACTTTTGTGGCAAACGCTCTTCCTCACACCTCCAGATATTTCCTTTCTGCTTAACATATTAACAAGCTCATCAGTATTCACGCAGGCTCCTCCCCCTCATGAATATTCACGCATGCTCCTCCCCCTCCCTCCTGTGACGTCAGATGTGCTGTGAACATAATTCACCACTACATCAACAAGAAATAGTCAAGTCTACTGTATTTCTATGGCGCTTTATACAGTACAGATTTCACAGAGATAAACAGGAAAATAACAGATTCAATGATGGAAACGTTATTAAACATGAGAATTTCAGCTCTGCAGAAGACTAGTGTTCAGATCTATGTTGATTCAGATTTGGTTCAATAACTATAAAATCGATTAAATATGAAACAAGTTCAATTTCAGCTGTATAGTTAATGTAATAGTTTAATTATTCACAATTCAGTTCAGTTCAGCTGTCAAAATGTGCAAAATTCATCATGAAACACAAAAATATTTTGTTTAATGAAGGCGATGTTTTGCATTGAGTTCCTCAAATCCAATTATTACTCATTAATCCCAAAATATCATTACTGTAATGCAAAAATCACAATCTTATTAATTTAATAAGAAAAATAATTTAGTATATTATTAAATTGATTAATTTAAATAAAATATATTATTTAAATAGTAAAGTATTTATGTATCATAGTTGTAGTATTTACACTGCTTATAAATAGACTGTAAAGACTATAATAAATTATTAAATTACATAAATGTATGTGAAAGTATATTACATTACTGTAATGAAAAAATCTAAATCTTATTAATAAGATATTAATTTAACATATTATTAAATTACATTAATTTAATGTGAAAAAAATTATTATTTAAATAGTACAGTATTTATACATGATAGTAGTAGTATTTACACTGCCTATTAATGCTGTAAATAGACTTCATTTTCTAAATCTTATTAATAAGATATTAATTTAACATATTATTAAATTACATTAATTTAATGTGAAAAAAATTATTATTTAAATAGTACAGTATTTATACATGATAGTAGTAGTATTTACACTGCCTATTAATGCTGTAAATAGACTTCATTTTCTTTATCCAAAATATTGATTTTGTGGTTTCATGATTTACTGTTGTTTTGGATGAAGATGTCAGGTTGAGCTGGTGTTCACAGTACATTTGAAGCCGTGTGTGTGTGTGTGTGTGTGTGTGTGTGTGTGTGTGTGTCTGTGTGTGTGTGTGTGTTCATCCTCCCCTCCTCCACCATCTGCTGCCATTGTGATTCCACAGGACCTTCATCCTCCCGATGGATCGTTCCAAGGCTGAACCTTTACTGTAGCCACAGCGTTTGACTAACCTTAATCTAGTGTGTCTCGCCCTCCTCCCGCTCTCTCTCTCTCTCTCTCTGCAGACCTGTGGCTCTCGCTCGCCCCATCCTCCTCTGTGTCTCTAATTTATAGGTCAATTACAGACTCTCTCTCACACACACACACAGAGCATTGCACGGTGTTGACGTGATGTCAGCGGGCAGCCGAACACTCGGGTGTGGCTCAGGAACACTGATCAGATGCATTCGTTCTTTTGTGCCGCTGCACTGTCAGAGAGTGAATCAATTATCACACGATTCACACGAGTCTTCGAGTTATACTGATATATCAGCATAAACCACATTTACTTCAGTAAAACATACATGTGTGGTGGAAATGTGTTTGTGCTGATGTGCTATTTTATACACTTTATACTATAGAAAACTAGTTTTTATTTTTATATTTTCAGTTTTCATTTAATATCAGTTTGTTTTTAATAGTTTTGTCATTTTTAATAGTTTTTGTCCTATTTAAATACTGCTGTTTACATTTTTTATAAATTCTATTTTATTGTATTTTTCATTTATATTTTAATCCTATTTTTATTTAATTTATTTTCAGTTAGTAATTTAAGTGCTTCTATTTAAACTTGCTGCATTTTACGGAAGAGGATTAGGGCCAAGCAATAATACAAAAATAAAACCATCTCGAGATTAAAGTCGTTAAATTTTGAGAAAAAAATGATTAAATTTCAATAAAAAAGTCGAGATAAAATGTTGAGATTAAACTAATTCAATTTCGAGAATAAAGTCGTTATGTTTCTTCAGTAAGTCCATTGTAAATATACAATTTGTGGATTGAAAAGTATTCTAACTGCATTGTTGTCACCAAGCGGCAACCTCCCGCTCTCTCTCGAGAAGCCAACACGGAAGTGACTTAAACTGTAATTCATCGACTGGCCGCTAGAGTCAGTCCCATAGACTCCTCATGTTAAAATGCCCAACTTTACAGCAGAAAAAAACATGTTTACAGCCTGGTACAAAAAATTATTTTGGTCTATATAGCTAATTTTGCCCTTCATGACGACTGTGAGGGGGGTGAATGTTTTAATAACTCATCCGTTTAAATTATATTAAGCCTTAAAGTTCTGCATAATTAAGGGCGTGTTTGGCCCGCGGCCGGACTTTGGACACCCCTGCCAGTTGCTATTTACAGTTGCTATAATTTTATATGTACTATAAATAAATTTACACTAAGTGACAACTTAACATTTTAGATATGTGCTATTTACACATTTAATAGCCATTCTTTTTACATAACGTAAATAGAATGGCTATTAAATGTGTAAATAGCAGTCAGTGTTGGGCAAGTTACTTCCAAAATGTAATACGTTATATATTACTAGTTACTGTCTTTTGAAAGTAATTAGTTACATTACAATATTACGGTCTCTGAATTGTAATGCGTTACACTACTTTTGAGTTACTTTCACCAAAATATCCACAGAAGTATTACAAAATGCCAAAATGTAGTTTATTGCTGCTCATTCTACACCCAGTGGAGGGTAATGTGGCGGGTCTATTTAGCCTACAATTTTAAAATCATATTTAGATGCCGGTATGTAGGTCTACATTAATGTTACGTTGTAGTTTAGGTTAAACACAGATAAGCAGAAACCGCATTATTACATTCATAAATAACACCGGTAAATAAAGCGAAATGTTGTCATATACAAACAATAAACACAATAGCTAGCCTATAGGCTATCTTGAACGCTTTCAGAAGAAAACAAGAATGAAAAATATAAGTTGCTAAACAGGCCACTGAATGAATGAGGCTAATTCAATGCGAAACTGAAAGCAAACGGCGTTCTCGTGCAGCCCAGCTCTCTCATTCAGCATTAATCCAATTAAATGTCTCCATATTTGCGATGTATTTGAATGCTAAACTATTATTTATTATGTAAACCAGGCTTACTTAACGCGCTTAAAAACCATCCTCGTCACACGAGCAAATGTGTGTTTGGCCCGAGCTCAGGTACACTCACACTCGGTACGCACTATTTAAATTAAGCAGTGTA